TTCGTTACTTGACTACTGCATACCAACAAACAAAATTTGATTGGTTCTCATTTTCTTAGATACTCGCCTATATACCATGCCACCCTTTTTTTATTTCTATTTATGCGTTTTTGCTCTAAAATAAGATGAGTTTTTATCTTTTATCTCATAGTTTGCAATCACAGCCTTGCCTCCTTTCCAATTGCTTTGTTCCCTTTTTTCTCCCTCCTACAGATTAACAATTCTACCCTCTGAAGAAAAAATTGCCCCTATGTACGAAAGGCTGAGCAAGTTTCACAAGGAATTCATGGACAAGTACAAGGACGACAAAGAAAACTAATAGGGATTTCAAAGTGAAAGCTCGTTTTTCGTTGGGTATTTACGGTGTTGTTGGTGGCAGTGACTGACGTTTCGAGAACCTGAGGTGGAAGTCTAAATAAGAGTGACTTCGATGATGACTCCGATGATGAGTCATGAATGCTTGTACTCGCCTGGTTAATTGGGGTTTATTATTATAATTACAATATAACACACCTCTGCTTCGTGAATTGTATCGGCTACCTGTGTGATACCGCAAAGAATATAAAAAAAACTCATTCTTTTTAAGTTATTGCATGGCATTGCGCCGGAGTGTTTTAGTAATTTCATATCTATATTATCTCCGTCCATGAATAATCTACGGCGCAATCATGACACTGGTATCCTATCATTCCCAAAGGTGTTAACCAAGAATACTTCGGGGATAGATCATTTATTAGTGCTGCCCGTAAATTTTGGAATCTGTTCCCGAGTTCAATTGATCCATATTTCAAAGCTACTTAAAAGTCACAGATCTAGAATGATGGTAACAGTTCAACATCGCATAATACTAAATACTTTCAACAAGCAGTGTACAAAAACAATTCAAGATGATATCCTGTTTGTATCAAATTTCCGCCGTGTGTTCTCAAATTTTGACGATCGTAACCTTTCTTCGCCTGGCCAGGCCAGATTCAACCGTTTTCCATTTGTACATCACTCTATAACTCACAGCTGCTTAAATTATTTGCATTCTAACGCCATGATCTTTGTTAACAATGTCTTCTTCTACTTGTAATTCAAAATAAACCTCTCAGTCTCCTGCCTCGAAACGGACGACGCATTTTATGTGATTGCAAGTTTTGTCTTTTTTTGTTTGGTTTTTTTTACTGGGTGAAATTAAAGATATGCGGCAGTGAATTCCGCGAGTTTTAGTGATTGGAAAAAGGCCAGGAGTACTCTCATCTGCAGAAGTTTAAGTTTACTTAATGACTAGCAGTGGAGAATAACTACTGTTTTTTTTATTTGTCTAAATATATTAGATGATTTTTGTTCAGCACGTATATAGTTGTTTGGAAATTATTTTAAGTAACGGACGATGTGTACTTCTTAATGTATGTAGAACACTCGAAAAGAGCAGAAAAAGAAAACTGCCAGTGAATGAATGAATCCAAAGATCAACGACCTCGGAAATTAAAAAATTAATTAGATGAATGCTTCGATTCTAAATTTAGCATCATCTTCTAAGCTATTTATTCATTTATTTTTCTGTTCTGTAAATTTGACTTGGGCGTGGCAAAGTACACAAGGCGATTTACAGCAGAATACCCGCCCGATCTCCGTTGGGTACTGGGTCTTATTACTGAAAGCATTGCCATGATGTAGAGTTGTTTCAACGCGTACGTAGGTTCTACATCAATTATTCAATTGAAGGCATACGTGATGACTTCGTCGTAGTCCGTGACACTTGAACAATCTAAGTTTGTAGCTTATTGTGTAAATCCCTTCCATTCTTGGATAACCTCTCATAATTTCTAGTTAACACTTGTTCGTTATTACTCTAAAGTTCTTTCATCTTATAGAAAAGTTATTCAGTTTAAAGTAAGCGTGGATGTCGCAGACACGAAAATCCTTGATGACTCGAATGTGGTTAAATCGAAATTAAACGAGATTGGTCACGGTTTTTGAGTCTCCAGAAATTAAGCATAGATATTTCAAGTCCTTATTTTGAAGTTCGAAAAAAAATTTTCTTTATACATGTCTTTCGTTAAGCCTCTTCTAACTTTGTTCTCTCCAACGTATTAGGTGTTTGAAGGCGACCACTGCAAAATGATATTTATTATTCGGAGTTCCTTCTAAACAAAGGTTATTTTAACAGTCCTTACAACCAGTCAAAAAATTTGATAACTCCCACCCTTTGAACCATTTCAAAGTAATAAAACTTCCAATAAATCAATCTCCTCAATAAGGTAATTAAAATTCGTGGAGACTGATTCGAAAGCACACGTCAGCTATGCCTAACTTATACCTCCATTTTAAGGAATAGAAATGATTCTTATCTTGTGAAAAAGAACTGCGTCAAAGTCTCGCCTACAATCTCAAAGAAAAAACACCTAAATGATAATAATGATAACGCTCGGCAGCATATGTGTACGATTATGCAAATGAAACGTTTAACATTAATTATTACCAATCAGACTTACTATGAAAACTCTGATTGGTCGAGAGTATCCAGCCAATATACAATAGAATGTTGACATGATAATTCAATATCTGCAGCGGTTAATTATCATGGGTGTCCTCTTTAAGAGATTGTTTAAAATATGTATAATAAAAAAATTATTGAATTCGGTTTTCGTATGATATCATAAATTATCAAACCTTGAGTCTGTATTATCTGTAACAGCCTTCGGCTTTAGCAGATAACTCAGACCTCGGCATTGATAACTCATTATATCATGCTCAACCACATCAATTAATTGCTTAATGCATGTGGCAAATTGTTATCTGCTTTTACTCCTGGCGTTGGAAAACATGCACAGTTCCATTGCATTACCCTCACATTCGACTTACCAACTTCAAATCAGTCTAAGCTGCATTTGTAGCCAATAAAGCGGTGCAGATAATTTTTTTCTTGAACGTCCCACATGCCTGGATGTTCCTTGAATACAGCCTATTTTTACGGGGCTGCACAGCGATTACCACATTATATCAGGGTACGCATATTTGGCCCCTGGACAACAATTCACGTAGTCTAAAAAAAAAGTTATGGCCACCAAATATGGGTTTAACCACATATGCTTCATGAACTAGCTCTTCTTCCATGCTGAAACCTTAAAAATAGAACCGAAAATGGAAAGTGAAAGTACTTACCTTTGCATTTTGATCGGAACTACGTGTTACTGTCTCTTCGACACGACTGGCTTTTCCACGGTTCATTTCCGAACAAGAGAACCACGTTGTCCCCGTTTCAGCTTTTCTTTTTCAGCTCTCAGGTAAAATGGACAACCACGAGGCTTGGGATTTAGAGATCACCTTCCATGAAGCTAATGGCGGAAACGGGAGTGAGGTCGAAGAGACTGATTTCGCCCACTTAGCAGATAGTCATAGCGAAAATGATGAAATTCAAAACTGTCTTGGCGGCTACGAATACCAATTGATAGACGAGACAACTGACAACCAGAAGTGTCCAGTGTGCCTTTTTCCGATGAGGGATTCCGTGCAAACTGAGTCATGTGGCCATAGACTTTGTAGAGAATGTCTAAACGGGATTCCTAGGTAAGCTGTGCGAAGCGTTGTGTAGGTTAAAAAGAGTTACAGTGCCAGAAATAAAGCTTCGATCCTTTGTGCCTAGGTAAGCAATTTCCTTTATTTCGGTAAAGACACGTGGTGATTAGCATGATGCAACATGCAACCGAAGAAGTACAAGTCGTGGCAACTGAAAATCCATGAAAAGACGTAAGGATTCTCACTAACCCGTCTCTTTACTCGGTAGTAGTTTGCTCAGTGCGATTGACTTTGTGTAACTCCGCTGAGTACTTGGAATAAAGTCCTTTATTTCCACACGTGGGTAGGCTCGAAACGCGTTTGCTGAATGCCAAAATCTTTATGCAACAAAGTAATTCTTAGAGTGGCACTATTAAGCTCTTATATTGAATAAGAAGGGCGTAATTCCTCTGTTTGACATAGACCACAAAACGTACGAGGTAAATTTTCATCATTAGATATATAGATATTGTGTTTTAGACTAAAGTGAGTGTATTTCTCTGTTATTTCAGGAGCAGTAATCCAGTTTGTCCAAAAGATCGGGGAAGAATTGATAATGTAATAGAAGTAATTATTTCTTCCTGTGTCCAGAAGGCGTGTACTGAATCACTCTTCGGAAAAGCATAGCCTAAGGTTTACTAATCCATAGCTGCGCCATCAGACCACACTTGATTATGGAAATGCATCTATTGCAAGTGATTGCATGGTTTGCTGATAATATTCGATTTCCGTGAACGATACAACTTTTTTAACCGACTTAATTCAAAGTGGAGCACAAACACTATTGAGTAAACAGGGATCGGCGCTAAGATTTCCTCTTTTTCTTTACTATATTCATGTTTATAAAATGCCCTTAACATTTCATGATACTGCTTTGAACTAGGTTAATTTCTTCGTCAATGCCCTCTTAGATTTAATATTTCTGTGTGTTTTAAACGCTTTTTAAGACATTTCTTATGGGCTTTCATAGATTTTATCTTCTGATCGATTTACCTCTAATTTTCCGCACCATACAGTTCTATCCCGACAAGGCCTTTGCCAGGGAAATGCTATGCCTTCGAGTTAAATGCTTACAGAGTGAGAGAGGATGTCTCTGGATTGGTCAGTTACGACATGCAGAGGTAAAATAAAAGTTTGATTGGTTTAAGTAATGATTGAAAGTGGAAACCACGATATACGTTTTTATACGATTGAAAACCAGTCATGAATGTTGCAACGGTTAGCTACGTCAGGCGATCACAGTAAAATGTACGACTGATTATGTGACTGAAAGAGTCATTAAATTGAATGTGTAAATTAAAGGACTCTATGCACTTCCAAAAATTCAACTGGTAACAGTTTCCTTCCCACGACAGGAACGTATTGGTGAGTTTTCTCATGAAGATCGAAACTGTTTGGCGTGCGACGCTCTTGCTCAAAGGCGACATCTAGAAACGCATTAAAACGACTCATGCCCCAAAAGAATCATAGAGTGCATTCACTACCATGATGAGTTCACTTTTATTAAAAAAACAGGCAAGTATACAACTCGGAATTTTAGAGATCATCCATTAACAATTGCCTTTTGAGTTTACATCAATTTAAGATATTGAACTCCATCTCGAGCCATGCAATATATGTTTCAATAAAATCGAACAAAGTAGAAAACAACCTATACTAGGAATACACTGATACAGAGTCCGAAAAAGGTTTAAACTGACATAGACGATCTCTTCTTGCTTCAGAAACATGAGGAAAAATACTGCAGACGCTTTCCTATTACCTGTCCAAACAGCTATGGAAAGAAAGGAATACCTAGGGAAGAGGTAGATGGTGTCTGATCTCACTGATCCGCTGATGTACATTGGATAAGACAGAAGATGTATAGCTAAAGCTCTTTTATACAATAAAATTTAGAGTGTGCGGTTATATAAATAAATGTTTGAGTTCTCGTTTACATAGCGCTTTAAAATCTAGAATTTTTCTTAAAATTCAACCAGCTGCAAAGCCATCTTTCAAAAAAATGCCTAACGTCAGAGGTGACTTGTTGTTATGCAAAGGCTGGTTGCCTATTTCAGGTTTGTCATGAAATTGTAAATTTTTGTTTTCTTCAGGATGGCTTTATTGCCCCGATGTTATACTGCGGGTAGAACAAGAGAAAACGGTCCTTTTTCATACCCGTCCCATCAAAAAGTTTGCCATTAATTAGTTACCATCCTGTAACATTCGAATTAAGCAAAGAAATCCACCCAACCGGACAAATTGGTGAAACAAAAAGTTTTAGCCTTTGACAATGTGGTCTCATCGAGACTCTAGAATTAAGCGCTGGGCACAATAAACCAATACCCTTGTCCTTCCTTACCAATTTAGGAATGGGGCAGGAGTATTGGTAAATCTATACTCACCTCACCGGTAATGTCATGCAAGGTTAAATTGGACAAGATAAAGGCAAAGATACGTTTGGCAAGAAATGACACAAACGAT